ACACAGACACGACAGAGTAAGGCAGTTACAGACGGACGCACGCCATAGATATGTTCATTATGCTTGTTATTACACACTTTGGTCATTTAAAATAAACTATTCTCTAGATTTTATATGTCTGCAGTTTTACAAAAAACAATTTCAGATTTTTACGGTTTACGAGCAGCTTTGACAGAATAAATACAAACATTCAGATTCGGAGCGAAGCAAAGAACTCTGTCAGAAAAGCTTCTATCAGCTCAGGTTAAAGGGTGGCAGCAGGTGGAGGCCTTAACCCCTCTGTGCAGCAGCGCCCCCTGCTGCTGTCTGCAGTTGGGTTTTACAATCTGCACCAGAAGATTTGCCTCAACCAGCAACTGATTAAAGGACATTTAAAGGAAAAAACTCTGAATTTGTGAAGGTATTTGATTAGTAACAAATCAACATTAAACAGGTAAAATCAGGCCCAAGTCAGCAGCTGCAGAGAGGGGTTTGAATGCACTTTACTACAACCATGTTATGTTTTATTCATAATCTGTGATTATATTGCACTCACTATGTCACTTATAACTCCTTCACTTTGTAATAAACTACATAAAATATGAAATTGTCCTCCAACTTGCAATCAAATGGACTTTGTTATTGTCCATCTGCAGCAAGAATATTCTGATAAGTGATTACGTAGTCATAAATTGCAGATTTGATCAATAACACACAGATTTACCTACAGCAGAGCAGCAGCGAGACTGAGAGCTGATTCTGTCCATGAGTATGAGGCCAAACAGAGATCAGACAGTTCACGTACAGACTCAAACAGACAGTGAAAGGATTGACTAAAGAAGTTTGTCTGCATGACTTTCTTTCACTTTGACTTCACGGCCCTGGTCGTACTTTTAAAGTTACTTATAACTCTCTCCCTGTTTGCCATCCACTCTCAGACATCAGGATAAATAAAGCTGGCAAACATGTTTATGAGAGCGAAGAGCTGACAGGAAGCTGCATATATAATCTTTACTAGAACGCTGATGTTTAAGGTGCCTCGGTTTTATGCCCACTGTGAGGACATCCATCTGCGGTGCTAGCGGTAGAGCTTTGTCTGATAATCACTGGGTTGGCAGGTTGATTCCAGGCTTGAGTCCCTCCGGATGGTGAACAGATAGTTAGTGTTTTGTTTCCTCTCCACTTTTAAAATGAATCAGAAAGCCTTGAAGGGAAACTTCTCTTGGCTCTGGACTTAGATGTTGATTAGCCTGCCACTAAAAGTAGCTCCAAATAAATACGCTATGTCCTCCTGTTTATCTGATAAAACTACAGAGAGCTTTCTGAAGGAATTACCAAACCTTTTCAGAAAGCTTTAAGGCTTCACTGGGCTCAGAGCTGAGAGCCACAGACTGAGAAGAAACGATCGCGATGAAGCAGCAGCATGAACTCAGCTAATTCACTCAATCATGTCCAAAAACTACAACCACGTGGAGCTTTGGAGTACCATCAGTCTGACCCCCTTTACCCTGCTTTGAGGTCAAAAGACAAAACTCTGCGTTTTTGAGGAAAATGAAAAGGCTAAAGAGGCGGAGACAGGAAGCTGAAAGCCACGAGAGACACAAACACACGGCTGCTTTGAGTCTGAACATGATAAAATCTGTAACATCACACCGTCCACCTGCCTAACAGTCACCTGAATCTGAACACCCGTCTGCACCTGTGTCGGCTGGTGACGCGCACATGAAAAGCAGCAGGTGACCTCTGACCTCTGCAGGTCGGTCACATGGAGCTCAGGCTACAGGAGAGAAGATCGGAGCTGCTAAGAGGTGCAGCTGTGGGAAGATGGATGATGAGCTAGTTTCCTATTGGACGGCCTAACAGGAAGCACATCACCTGATGTCTGTGAGTATCCTGAAGCTGCTGATTGGTGGAGTCCAGCCCTGACGGCTGATGTTCCACTGATCTGGGATCTGCTGTTACAGTTGGGTGGG